GAGGAGAGAGGGGTGGGAGAGGAGGGAGGGGTGGGAGAGGGGGGAGAGCTGGGAGAGGAGGAGCCCAGCCCTGCCACTTCCTCAGCAACCTCAGACAAGTCCCTTGACTGTTCTAAGCCTCATTTTTTCCAGCTGTTTGATAAGACTAATAATAGAATCTACCTTATATGGTGGTCGTGAGGATGGAATGAGCTAATAATATACTTAGCACAGTAGCTGGCGCATAGTAATCATTCAATAAACAATAACGGTCATTGTTATTGAACGAGACAGTGGACTTGTCAAGGGAGGAAACGACTTAATATCTATTTGTTGATTCATTATTAGACACCTACTGTGTGCCAGTGCCAGACACTGCTAGATAGTGAGACTATAGTTTGAACAATTCCCAACACGGTTCCTGGCTGGTAGTAAATCTGAGAAAATAAAATTGTAGAGCCAAACAAAGTAAGGAATACAAAGATGCTGAAGCCCTAAAGGAGCTTATTATTTTTAACCTTCTATTTATTCAAATCAATATGCATCTTACAAATTAACATTTTATTTTAAACATTCTGAATGGCACCTCCGTCTGCCCTTGGGCAGGCCCCGGGTGGGAAGCTGGTGTGGGTGCGAGCAGAGCATGAGTTGCCACAGGCTCAGAGCTTTCCCTGTGTGCAGCCCGCAGCTATGTCATCTTCTGGAAGCGCCGCTGTCCTAACAGTTAAGCTTTTCTGAATCAGGGCCTGAGCAGGGGCTGCCTCCATTTTGAGGAGGTGGATTGTTGCACTGCCTATGTCTTGTTTTCTGTCCCCAAGAGCACGAAGACCATTCTGACCAGCAATTCCACTTTCCATCAATGGGAACATCTATAAGAAAGAAGGTCAACAAACATTAATTAGCCCTTACTGTATGAAAGATGTGGCAGTCTGCTTTCATAAAGATTTACAGTCTTGGAAACCCTATGAGGCAGTTCTACTCTGTCCTATAGGGTCGCTATGATTCAGAATTGACTTGGCAGCAGTGACTTTTTATACATTGGTGCCCTGTTGGGTGAGGTGGGGATATAACTCAAAAGACTTTGGGAGTCTGAATCTCTGATGTCCCCACTCCAGCCAACTGTCCTTCTTAGAGGCCATGGTATTTGACATTCCTCCTCTTACCACAGGGCCTTTGCACATGCTATTCCCATTACCCAGAGCACTCTTCCCTCACCTCTCCTCACATAGCCAACTCCTGCTCATTCTTCAGATCTCAGTTCAAGTGTTATTCCTCAAGGAAACCTTCCTTGACACCTCCTTCCCCCATCCAAACCAAACCAAACCCGTTGCCATTGAGTCAATTTCGACTCATAGGACAGAGTAGAACTGCCCCATAGGGTTTCCAAGAAGCAGCTGGTGGGTTCAGACTGCTGACTTTTTGGTTAGCAGTTGAGCTCTTAACCACTGTGCCACCAGGGCTCCTACCCCCTTCAATTCCCGCTATTTTAAGCTCTCAGAGTATTTTGCAGCAGATGTTGCAACTGAAAGTTTAAATGTATTTCTGGGACTACTCACATGATACTGATCTTCCCCTCTAAAAAGCAATCCCTGTGATAACATTCTTTGCTCACCGTTGTACCCCAGCACCTAGGTTGATACATAGGAGGCCTTCTGTAACTTTTTGTTGAATTGATGAATGAATGTATGGTTTCCAGCTTAGACACTTCCCAGGCATGGGACACTGGGTAGTTTACTTAACTTCTTCTCAACCTAACAAATGGAAGTAATGTTATCTACCATGAGTGTTGGATGTTCTAAATGAGGTAACAACAAACACTGGTGGTTCTCACCCTCTCACACTTGCCTTTCACTTGAGGACTTTTTTGAAAAAATAGGATTGAACAAATAATAGATTACTGCCACCATGATTTATCATGCATCTGGCTGAGCCAGTAACTCCCAGTGTAACTCTGGGTAAATTACTTAATATCTCTGGGCCCCCTCGTCTCCCTCATTTGTAAAATGAGAGAGCAGGATGGACTGGTTCTAAGGTTTCTTCCAACCATAAACGGTTGTATGATTGCACAGTCTTGGGCAGATCACTGTTTGGGGACCTGGTTGAGATGTGTGAGGAGAGGGAGTGAGGATAACGCTGAGAATCTCGCTGGTGAGGCAGAACGGGCAGGTGTTAGGAGCAAAGGCTGTGAGGTCAGACCCGCTGGACCTGAATCTAGGTTCTTACACTTAGTAACTGTGTGACCACTGGGCAAGCTAGTCAGCAACCCATTGAACCTTAGTTTCCTCATCTATAAAACCGGGATATCAATAGTATTGCTTCATGGGATTGTTGTGAGGATTAAACATGTAAAAAAGAAAGTAACCAATATTCATTTATCTCTTACAATATATCAGGTACTATTCTAAGTATTTTATATGTCTCATTACAGCCTTATGAAAACACTATGAGGTAGTTAATATTATTCTCATCACCCCCATTTACAGATGAAGAAACTGAGGCACAAAAAAGTTAAGTAACATGCTCAAGATCACAGTTATTAAATGATGGAGCTGGAATCTGAACCCATGCTGAATGTTAAGCAAAGTGCCTGACACAGAGCAAAGTGCCCAATAAACAGTTGCTATTTTTATTAGATGGACCATTCCATTTTTAATGGTATCACCAAAAAAATCATAGAAAGGAATAAAGGGTGTTGGTTGTAGAAAACTCAGATAATAATTATGCTGGCCAAAGAAGGTGAGAGCTGGAAGGGATCTTAGTGATAGTTCAGCCTTTGAATCATTAATTTAACCAATATTACTGAGCAGCAACTGTGTGCCAGGCCCTGGGACACAGAGGTGAATTGGACATGATCTCTGTTCACAGTTGCAGGGGAGACAGACACACATACAATCTGAAATACAGTGTGCTAAGAGCTATAGTAAATATATATGCAAAGTCCTGTGGGGGCCTACAAAGGAATGAACAACTTCTACTTAGAGGGCTAGAGTAATTTTGACAGAGGAGAGGGCATCTGGGCTGGATTTTGAGGACTGAGTAGGAGTTCACTAAGCCGAAAAATAGGGTAAGCTTTATGGAGGGATCCAAACAGATGAATTGCAAATGCCAAGCACCTGAGTGCTCCCAGTTGTAAAAATAATGAAATATAAAATCTGGAGCCAGGATAGATCTCAAGTTTCATCATGTCCAGCCCCCTACCACACACCCCCAACTTATTTTTGTTCTTTTGAATTATTCTCTGTATCCAGAGTTCCCTTTTCCATCCAACTCTCGAAGATTACTTACTGTTTCGAGAGGTGATCTCACAGGCTGTGCCTTGGAATCCAACGGGACAGATACAGTCACAGCGTGATCCTGAGAAGACAAGGCAGAGAGAGTGTGAATCACTCCATGTGGAGTAAAGGACTCCAGGAGCTCAGCCCTCCACAGCACCGGGTTTCCATTAGGTTAACACAGGGCAAACTTTGACTTGAACGGTTCTCAGTAAGCAGGATCAATGCCAAGAATACCTACTCCTTTCTTGAGGGTCCTTGGCTTGTAAAAGAATGTTTATTACCATCATGGGAAATTACATGCAGTTGTTGGGGAAAATTACTTGTTAGCTGACTTTGACCCACACTCACAAGACTTCAAGTTTGGAAGCTACCTAGGTTAGATCTAAAAGTAAAGAATGCCACCCCTGAGTACTGAGCTCTTTTAAAAAAATTATCTATATGAGACCAAATGAACAACAGTTACTCTAAAGCATAGATGCGAAGCTTGGCGGACAGTGAGACTAAGTTAAAGGGAGTAAAACAACTAGAATAGAAATAATGAGACTGTTAACACAATGTGAAGAATGCAACCAATGTCACTGAATATTATGTGTAGAGATTTTTCAATGGTAGTATGTTTTCCTGTGTATATTTTCACCAAAAATACAAATAAAATTAAAAACAAAAAAAGACTGGAAGCAACATTAGAGGTCACTATATGGATGGTCAATTTCCCCACAAGTAATTGCCTACCCTCTGCTTTATTCAAGCGATAGGGAATTTGTTATCCTTAGATGTCCCATCCTATGTTTGGTCAGTTCTGACACGTTGGAAGTTTCTGTGTTAATCTGTATTCTGTCACCTTAGGGCTGCTCTCACCTGGGATCACACAGAATCTCTTTATAGGAGAGTTCTTCATATGTCAGGCCCTGCAACCATCCCAGCCTCTCGCTCCATATTCTCCCTCACCTCCACCCCACAGCCTCAGTTGGGTCCCAATTTCTAGGTTCGAATTTCACACAAGGTAAGGGGGCCTTCAGCAACCCTAGGTCAAAACCTTGATCCCACTTCTTGTTGGCCTGACCTTCACTGAGATGCCCTTGTTCTGATGGCTGGACTACCGGGCCTTATAAAGGAACTCACTTAAGTCCTCTTTCCTCATATCCATCCTGTCTGAAAATGTAGAAAGATCTTCCTCAATCCCAGCCTGGCTGCTGGAATCTTTCTCCCTGCTAACAGGTCTTCTCTTGTGTTCCCCGTGCTGAACTCCAGCCACGTGGGTTCTGCCCTGACTCCAACTGACTCCCTAGGCTGGAGCCTACTGGAACCAGGTCCTGATGCCCTGTTTTGGGTGCTGGACTGGACTTTTCCTAACAGTCTTGCTGGCCCATCAGAACAGGAGTGTATAATGCCATGACCCAGCTTCTCCAGATTGCCCTGCCCACTGCAGTGACCATGGGCATGATCCTTGAAGTTAGCAATCAAGTTCTAGTGGCCCATCCTTGCCTCCCACCTCCCTTCCCCCAATCCTCTCACCATGTATTAGTCAGGGCATGCGCAAAGGATTTCTCTTGCTCAGCCCAAGGCCCCTTCTTTGATCAAGAGAAAATTCCTGGGTCTACTCTACTCCTTGTTGCAGGCGACATGGTCTCAGTATATTCCTGTCTTCAGTTTAACGCTACTGTCATCCACTCTGTCACTTGGAGCTGGAATCTAGGTGTCCTGAAAGGCTGAGTAGTATGTCCTGGTTGCCTACATTCAGATTTCTTGGGAAATAGTAGCGGGCAAACAGCTGGCCCCACAGCCTGCCTCCTCAAGATGAGCGCTTTCGTGAGGGACACCAGCTGCTGGGCAATGGTACCTTTCAGGACAGGAACCCCATTCCCTTGGCAGGGAGCACATCGGCAAGAGCTAACTTCTTTCTGGAACTCTTCCAGGGCCTGCTTCATGTTCTGTTTCACTGTGTTGGAATATGCAACGTCTGTGGCTGTCACCAGTTCATACAGAGGATCTGCCTGGAAAGCGAAGACAAGCACTTAATTCAAGAGAAAACACTTATTAGTTGATATAGAAGGCAAGGCTACAGAGCAATGGGCAGAGGTCAGTGCACAGACCACAGTGGATTCACATGGAACTGGATGGATGCTGCAGTATGTGAATGAACACCCAGTCCAAAGCCTATATTTTGCCATACAGGTAACCCATCCTTTCTTTGCTCCCCCAGTGTTACAGATTGAACTGTGTCCCCTCAAAATGTGTTGGAATTCTAACCCCTATACCTGTGGATGTAATCCTATTTGGAAACAGGGTTTTCTTTGTTATATCAATGAGGCCATGTAGGGTGTGTCCTAAACCTAATGTCTTCTGAGTTATAAGGAGCAGCATAGACACGGAAACAAGCACAAACAGGGGAAGAAAGATGCCACATGAAGGAACCAAAAATACTAGAAGAGACAAGGACCTTCCCCCAGGGCCAACAGAGAGAAAGCCTTCCCCTAGAGCCAGTACCCTGAATAAGGACTTCTATCGTCCTAAACTGTGTGAAAATAAATTTCTGTTCTTTAAAGCCACCCACTCGTGGTATTTCTGTTACAGCACCGCTAGGAAGCTAAGACAGCTGCCCCAATACACACAAATAAGTTCATTCAGCTATACTGAACATGTACTAGGTGCTAGGCATTAAGCATGAATGAGTAAGAAAAAATTCCTACTTTCAAGGAGCTCAGAATCTAGAGGTAGGGTAGATCTACCAGTGGATAGTTATAATACAGTGGTTCCAGTTCACAAGTAAAGAGGAGTCGTGGTTAATCTGTCTTTGATGGGGGGCCAAGGAAGTGATTTTCAAACAGCTCTTTGAAAGAAATATGACTATTATTGTAACAGCACTCCCCCCCTCTAAATCTATCAAAATCATTCACATCATGCTAGAGCCCCCAACAGGAAGCATTTCCAGAGTTCTGAAGCTCACAGAACACCTTCCCTCCATTAAGCTCTCAGAATGTGCCTATGCTACTCAGCTGATACCACTTCTATATTTTTGCTGCTGTTTATGGTCATTGGAGGCCTGATGGCCCAGTAGTTAAGAGCTATGGCTGCTAAACAAAAGGCTGGCAGTTTGAATCTGCGAACCACTCCTTGGAAACCCTATGGGGCAGTTCTACTCTGTCCTATAGGGTTGGAGTCAACCCAATGGCAACGAGTTTGATTTATGGTCATTAATTTTTTTTTTTTTTTAATATGTGTAAGTCTCTCTTCTTCCTCCCCTAATTAGATCCTAAGCTCCTGGAGATCAGGGCTATGAACTGTCCAGTTCTCTGTCTCTAGACCCAGCCAAGAGCTTAGTAAACCAACCCACCAGTTGCGTCAAGTGGATTCTGAATCACGGCAACCCCATCTGTGTCAGAGTGGAACTGTGCTCCATAGGGTTTTCAATGGCTGATTTTTTTCAGAAGCAGATTGCCAGGCCCTTCTTCAGAGGCACCTCTGAGTAGACTTGAACCTTCAAATTTTCTGTTAGCAGCTGAGCACATTAACATTTGCACCACCCAAGGACTTCTGGACCCAGTCCAGAGCTTAGTAAATACCACTAATAAAAGTGGATGGATGGATGAAAGGGGGATGGAAGCAGGGCTTCAAACCAGTTCATTCCAGTTCAAACCCTTGGTGAGAATTTGCACTTCTAACAATTTCCCAAAAAACCAAAACCAAAGCCGTTGCTGTCAAGTGGATTCCAAGCCTCAGCGACCCTATATGACAGGGTAGAACTGTCTCATAGGGTTTCCAAGAAGCAGCTGCTGGATTCGAACTGCTGACCTTTTGTTTAGCAGCTGAGCTCTTAACCACTGTGCCAACAGGGCTCCAACAAGTTCCCAGGAGATACTAACGATGCTGCTTAGGGATCAATTCTGAGAACCACTAGTAAAGCAGTGGGTCTCAAAATCTATCATACATGAGAATCACCTGGGGATCTTGTTAAAATGTAGATTTGGATTCAGTATATCTGAGGTAGAAATGCAAATTTTCAGCAGACAGAGGTTCGAACCGGAATGAACCGGTTCAAAGCGCTGGATGGAAGGCCTAATTAGAGCAATGGCAGCAGGCATGGAGTGGAGGATATGGCTATAAGAAAGTAGAAGCAAAAACAGCAGATGCTGGTCACTCAGTGGATATAGCCATGGTGAAGACGGAGAAGCCATAGGTAAATGTGATGTCGTTTGTGGGTTAGGAAAGAACAGAAGGCAAAGTTTAAAGAAGAAGCTCTTGGCTCTAGTTTCAGCTCCAGGGCCAGGTGCCTCTCCAGATTTTGTTTGTGATCCTGCCCTAATCCAACCCTGGAGAGTTTAGGGTCTGTCTAAATGCTGGCAATCATGCCTAATAGAAGCCTCCAGTGAGAAGAAAATTGCTTCCATTTCTTAATGCATCTGATGCTGACCTTCACTCTAGTGGGCAAAGCAAGGCCCCTTGGTGGTCCCATTGTCTCACCGGTTTGTGGTCAATGAATTGATCCAGAGACTGTTTGCAGAACCATCCAACCCTGCTGGCCACACATCTGGGGGATGGGGGTGGGGGAGATAGGAGGAGGGAATGGGAAAGAGGAGGGTGGGGAGCTTGCTTTGCATCTATGAGGAGCTCCTCCAACAATCTGCTTGCCCTCCTTGGGCATCTTGTAAGGCTGCCTTTAACCACTGAGGCATTTTCCTATCAACACTGAGATTTGCTCAAGGAGATGGAGCAAGTCAGTGGCAGAACTAGAATAAACAAACCTTCCACATCTACTATTGCTGTGTGCCGGGAGCTGTGCTGGGGAATTGCAAATATGATCCCACTTCACCCTCACAGGTCCCTGAGTGGAACAAATGTTTAAATGCTCGATTCTGAAAGTTGAGCAGTTCAAAACCATGCAGAGGCCCCTGGCAATCTACTTCTGAAAGATCGTAGTCATTGAAAACCCTATGGAGCACAATTCTACTCTAACATACACGAGGTCGCCATGAGTCAGAATCAACTCAATAGCCATTGGTTTTTTTGGTTCATTCTCACAGGGTAACAATTATTTACTCTATTTTCAGATGAAGTTAGTAACTTGCTCAAACTCACACAACTTAAAAATGGAATTGCCAGGATTCTAATTCAAAGCTTGTGTTTTTTCTACTGGCTTATGATGATTACTGAGGAAAATGCGTTGATTATTCCCATGCTCCAACCTCTATCCCAGAGTTCTCCAAAACTGCAGACTACGGTGTGCCTTGGAACTTAGCAGCAGCTCCTCCGGACTTCACGCTCCCTTTTTAACTCACGTTAATACGGTGCATGATTGTTTGTTCCTTAGTTTGCTGTTCTTTTCTCCCTCTCTTTCTTTTCCTCTTTTCTTCTCTCCCCGGCTTCCACATGCACATCCTTACTGCTCACATTGATCACTGGGTCCTTAGCACATCTGCCCTTGTGAAAACTGTATTTGTATCTGTCATATTGCTACAAAGAGATGGTATGTTCTGCCCACATGGGCACTATCTGTTAAACCCCATATAATTCTCTGTAGTGGACAGTGGTGATAATCATTCTTAATGATTTTGTTATTAGCTGTCATTGAGTTGGACCCTGACTCATGGCAACCCCATGCACAAAGGAATTAAATGCTGCCCAGTCTGGTGCCATCCCCATTATCAGTTGAGGATAAGACCATTGTGATCCATAGGGTTTTCACTGGCTGATTTTTGGAAGGAGATCACCGGGCCTTTCTTTCTAGTCTGTGTCAGTCTGCAAGCTCTGCTGAAACCTGTTCAGCATCATAGCAACACATAAGCCTCCACTGAGAGACAGGTGGTGGCTGCACTGAGGTGCACAGGTGAATTGAACCTGGGTCTCTCACATGGAAGATGAGAATTCTACCACTGAACCATTACTACCCCTATTCTTTTTTTTTTTTTTTTATAATTGTAGTTTAAATGAAGTTTAAATTTCAAGTTAGTCTCCCATACAAAAATTTACACATACATTGTTATGTGACCCTAATTGCTCTCCCCATACTGTGACAGCACACTCCTCCTTTCCACCCCTGATTCCCCATGTCCATTCAACCAGCTCCTAACCCTCTCT